CCATTTTTTTTTTTTTTTTGAGACAGTGTCTTTCTTTGTCATCCTCAGTAGAGCGCTGTGGTGTCACAGCTCATAGTAACCTCAAACTCTTGGTCTCAAATGATTCTCTTGCCTCAGCCTCCCTAGTGGCTGGGACTACAGGCAGCCACCACCCACAGTGCCTGGCTATTTTTCTTGTTGTTTGTTTGTTTGTTTTAGTAGGCCCAGGCCAGGTTTGGACCCACCAGCCCCGATGCATGTGGCCAGCACCCTAACCACTGAGCTACGGGTGGCCAGCCCCAAGGGGGATTTTTGATGTCTAGCAAAAGAGAGGATTTGTGTTTGCTACAATATGGGGACAAGGAAGAAAGAAGATTCCTATTATTAAAAACTAAAACCAAACTGGTATAGACAGTTCATACTAGCATATAATTGGAATTCTTTTGTTATAAAAATGTTTTTGATAATATAATTAGTTTATTTGAACTAAAAAGTTACTCTTTAAACAAGTAATGTGAGCACATAATATTTTGTTCATGAGTAATTGAACAAATGTTGAGGCTTTATGATTTTAGAAAACTTCTCTACTAAATTTCCAAAACTAACTAGCTTACTTTATTTCCCTGAATTGTTTTATAAATTAGTAATAAACTATATTTGCCTGAGTTGTTTTTAGAAAAGCAAATAGGATAATTCATGTGAAAGTGCTTTATAAGTGTTAAAAATGTAAGTTAATGTTCAAAATTCTACTTTTTATACAGTATGAATCTAGTTGGTCTTCTAAGCTAGCCTTGTCCAACTCTTTAAGTTTATCATCATCAAAGTTCTCACTGACTTCTTTCTCTTAGGGAAATTGGAGTTTAAATGGTATGTTGCTAGACTATAGGTCATATTAGAAAGGGAATGTCATTATGTGATTTATATGCTAGCATATGGCCCACCCTTGCAAAGTTGAAGGTACCCAAGTTCTGAACCTGGCTCTTAACAGGCTATTTAACTTTGGAGGAAGTCTTTTGTCTTATATGGGCCTCCATTTACTACTTATCTATAAAACACTTCTCTTGAAAGTTTCATCCACCTAAATATTGTTGTTCTTCACAAAGTTACTTCATAACAAATTTAATTAAAATAAAGGTATGAGTATACCTGAGGTTAAAAATTCTAATGACTTTGCATTTTTAAAGGTTTTTCCTTGATATAGCATCTGATTGTCCTACAAGTGATGCCGTAAATCATAGTCTTTCCTTCATTAGTGATGGCAATGTGCTTGCTTTACATCGTCTACTCTGGAACAATCAAGAAAAAATTGGCCAGTATCTTTCCAGCAATAGGTAAGAATTCCCAGTCATAGAGATAGTGAACACTCTCCAGTTTAAATTTGTACTAATAAAATTATTGGTCATGAATAGTGCTTTCCTCTCTACAACCTTTCTTGGAGTAAGAATTATGATTTAGAAAGAGAAAGGTATTTACATTGTGCTGGTGGGACTGCAAGCTAATACAACATTATTTGAAGGAAGTGTGGAGAATCCTTAAAGAACTCAAACTAGACTTCCCATTTGATTCTGCAATCCCATTACTGGGCATCTACCCAGAAGAAAAAAAATCATTTTGTCATAAGGATATTTGCACTAGACTGTTTATTGCAGCTCAGTATATAATTGCCAAATTGTGGAAACAACCTAAATGTCCACCAATCCAGAAGTGGTTTAACAAGCTATGGTATATGTATACCATGGAATACTATTCAGTCACTAAAAAAGATGGTGACTTTACATCTTTTGTATTTACCTGGATGGAGTTGAAATACATTCTTCTTAGTAAAGCATCACGAGAATGGAGAAGCAGAGATGGTGACTGTGGCTCAGGGAGTAGGGTGCAGCTCCATATGCTGAGGGTGGCGAGTTCAAACCCAACCCCGGCCAAAAACAGAAAAAAAAAGAAAGAATGGACAAGCAAGAATCCAATGTGCTCAATTCTGATGTGAGGACAGTAGATGCTAGTACACGGTGGTGGGTAGAGAGAGGGATGGAGGGAGGGGATGGGGCCCCGGTCACGGTGTGTGACACACCTTTGGGGGATGGGATACAATTATAAGAGGGACTTTACCTAACAAATGCAGTCAGTGTAACCTGGTTCTTTGTGCCATCAGTGATTCCCCAACAACAACAACAACAACAAAAAATTAATAAAAATAGAGAAAGATAGACTCTTTAAAAAAAAAATGGACAAAAGGTTAAGTTGTATTAAATGATCGACAAGCCTACCTAGATGCTATTAATTTTCTTTTATTAATGTCAAGTTAAGAAATCTCAGATTAGCCCTTAGAATTTTTTGGTTCTTAAATGATGAAACATACTGTGCAACAAGACAGCGAAGTTTAAATTTACTAAAAGATAAAATTAGTATTGACATTTGAACCTACAGGACAGCTAATTCTTAGGAATTTAGTAATTGAAACATAGCCACAGTTCTCTGTGTGAGGAGTTTCTTATAAAGGTAAAAGTAGTCCGATTATTTTCAGATGCCAACAAAAATGGTTTGTTTATTCATTTGAAAAGGTAGGAGACCATGAAGCCAAAGCTAAGCAATTAAGGGATGGGAGTTTAAAAGAGAGGACATTGTAATCCTTCATGAATTGTTGATTGATTGATGTAGGTATGGGCATGACTAATGTATGCCCTTAACATAAAAAAATGAAGTTGTTTATCTGTGTAATATTAAAATAAACTGTGAAACTTTTGAATACAAACATGATTTTCTCTTATATAATTTGTATTTACACTTTGGTGCTAGAGAGTTTTTTTTTTTTTTTTTAATTTTGGTCTTTAAAAAATTATACACATTTCAGGCTCGGCGCCTATAGCTCAACCGGCTAAGGTGCCAGCCACGTACACCTAAGGTGGCGGGTTCGAATCCCCAGCCTGGACCCGCCAAACAACAATGACGGCTGCAACCAAGAAATAGCTGGGCGTTGTGGCGGGCGCCTGTGGTCCCAGCTACTTGGGAGGCGGAGGCAGGAGACTCACTTGAGCCCAGGAGTTGGAGGTTGCTGTGAGCTGTAATGCCACGGCACTCTGCCCAGGGGGACAGCTTGAGGCTCTGTCTCAAAAAAAAAAAAAAAAAAAAAAATACACATTTCAAACATACAAAAAAATATAGAGGATACTATAACAGACCCATGTCTACCAACTATAGCTTTAACATTTATTTTAGATCTTTATAACATTTTATTTCTTGGGGTGGAGGACAGTGATACGTATACATACGTATAATTCCTCTTGACAGTCTAATTTCTATACTTCTCTCTGGAGATGCCCACCTAAAGCTGGTGGGTGTGCTTCCTAGGTATACTTTTATACCGTTGTGCATATATGCACATGTATGTAACTGGCAAAATAAGGAAATTATAGGTATATCTGTAGTATAACATAGATTTTTATGTTTTAAATTGTTACAACAACAATGTAGTGAATATAACCTCTTCACATAACATTCAGGATGTATCATTTATTTAATTTAGCATTTCATTGAATCTGTATCAGTTTATTTTTGCATTCCTGAATTAATGGAAGTTTACATTTGTTTGCAGTTTTTCACTAGTATAAATAGTGATCTTTTAAATTATCTTCATATTTGTCTTCTTAGGTAGTACCTATATATCTAATTGCTGGGTCTGGAATACACCTAGTCTCATCTTTACAGGATATTGTCAAATAGCTTTCCAAAGTGTACATGCCAATTAACACTTAGACCAGCCCTGTGTGAGAACATTTTTGTACACACTCTCACCAAAGTTGATGTCAGATTTATTATTTGCCAATTTGATGCTGTGAAGTAGTATTATGTTGTTCTTATACAGTTTTACTTACTGAAAATTCATATTTTCTCTGGTTATACGAAGATCTGATAATGAGGCAGTATGTTCAATTATGAAATACTGGTTTCTCAAGATAGATCTTTTCACTTTGAGAAGAGGAGGATCAGAATGTTTTTTTTTTTTTACTTACTGACCACCTGCTTAGTGGAACAGATCATGAGTTCTAGAAAACATTGAAGTTTTATTTAAATATTATACTTTAGAGAGATATACTTCAGTGTATACTTGTTTTTGAGTCTCATTATTCATCTTCAGTAGATTGCTACGGCATCACAGCTCACAGCAGCCTCAAACTTTTGGGCTTAAGTGATTCTCTTGCTTCAGCCTCCCAAGTATCTGGGACTACAGGCGCCTGCCACAGTGCCCGGCTACTTTTGTTGTTACAGTTGTCATTACTGTTTGACAGGCCCAGGCTGTATTTGAACCCACCAGCCCTGGTGTATGTGCCCAGAGCCCTACCCAGTGAGTTACAGGTACCAAGCCTCAGTGTATACTTCTGATCCTGAGATCTTTTTAGTGCTGTTCACAAATCAGCAGGGACCACCAGCTGACGGTAAAAAGAAAAGCAACAAGGGACAGAATGAAATGTGTACTGCAAAATATGAACTACTACTTTTTTCTAAGTAATTTGCTATATCTAGGGATCATAAAGCTGTTGGAAGACGCCCTTTTGATAAGATGGCAACACTTCTTGCATATCTGGGTCCTCCAGAGCACAAACCTGTGGCAGATACACACTGGTCCAGCCTTAATCTTACCAGTTCGAAGTTTGAGGAATTTATGACCAGGTAAAGTACAACCAGTATGACCAGTAAATGTACAAAGTACACTTTGAAATGATGATTGCTTTCTTTTTGTTTGAAAAGTGTTTACCACCAGTCCACTTGTTAGATATGATAGTTGTCAGGAAAATTGTACTTAGTTATTACACCGCCCTGTTTTGGGATCTAACTTTCCTATTACCCAAGGTATTATTGAAGTATGTATACATATTCATATGTATTCATATATCCATATTTATTCACATATTCATATAAAATAGTTTAACATAATAAATTGTGCACAAACTCTCTGTCCACCCTATGTATACCTGAAGGTCTGGCAGTTGGGTTCGTGAACTCATCCTGGAAAAAGTGCTACTTACCTCATTGCTGAATGTCACTGTGGTCATCTTCAAAGCAGTTTTGGAACTTTTTTTTTTTTTTTGAATGCTAGCAAAGCTATTGTCATATTACCCTTGATGTCCTGAATGCCATCAAAATGTCTTCTTTTCACTATTTCCTTTATGTTTGGGCAAAGAAAAAAGTCACTAGGGGCCAGGTGAATAGTGAGAGTGTTCCAATATACTGGAACTTGTTTACTGGCTAAAAAATCCCTCACAGACAGTGCTGTGTGAGCTGGTGCATTTTTGTGATGTAAGAGCCATCATTGTTGGCCAAAATTTTCAGTTAAGACTTCTGTTTCTCTGTTGGTATTTAGTTGGTCTGCTGTGCTTCTCCCAGTCAGTTGATGATTTTGACACACAATTCAATAGAGTTTTGTAGTGTTTTTGTCAGTTCTGCTTGTTGCTGGTCACCTTGACCTCTCTCAATGATGCTTTGTCTCCCCTCAGAACGTTTAGTCCATTGGTACACTGCCATTTTCTTCATGGCGTTATCCCCGTAAACTTGGAATAGCAGATCCCTGATTTCACTTCCTCTCTTGCCAAGTTTAACAAGAATTTTACAAAGGTTTATTCATTGCTCTAATTTAAGTTCTGACATTGTTGTGAGAGCACACAAAAGTACACAACAACAATAATGAATGATACTCAGCAAAACACTGACGCAGGTCAGCATGAACACAACTGTGAGACACTGATACATCAAGGTCATGAACCTTAGGAACTGTTTGTAAGATACTGCCAACATAAGCACATAGTAGCAAGTTTGCAGATTTAATTGTCAGACTTTGTATTTCAATATCATTTGTATACACAGGGTGCCAAAAAATGTGTATACATTTTTAAAAAAGGATAAACTGTATTAGCATTGTAATACTCAGTATGTATCAATAGTGTTTTTTGTGTATGTTGGATCTTGTAACTACTGTAATTTCAGAAGTCAAATGTGACTTGAGTATTACGTTTTTTGGCACTCTCTCTATATATTTCTTTGAAACAGGTTCTTGCTTTGTCACTCACGCGGAAGTGCAGAGACACAATCATAGCTCCCTGTAACCTCCTATTCCTGGGCTCAGACATTCTCCCGTTTCAGACTCCTAGGTAGCCACCATGTGTGGTAAATTTTTAAAACCTTTTTAAAGAGATGGGATCTCACTTTGTTCCCTGACTGGTTATAAACTCCTGCCTCAAACAATTTTCCTTCCTCAGCCTCCCAAGGCAGAAATGTGTGCTGCTAAATGTGAACTGGGATTGTAGGTGTCAGCCACCACTCCCAGCCTGTTTTGTATGTTGGGTTTTTTTTTTGCAATTTTTGGCCGGGGCTGGGTTTGAACCCACCACCTCTGGCATATGGGGCCAGCGCCCTACTCCTTTGAGCTACAGGCACTGCCCTGTATGTTGATTTTTTATAACAATAAAGTAACTTGCTGAATCATACTTTCTCATTTTGCTTTGATAAGTTTTCACATTTAATACTTACAAGGAAGTAAAGACAGTATTATTTTCGTATTATAGTTAAGAAAAATGTAATTTATTGTGAATAACTGACTTGCCTAAGGTGCCACCCTAATTCATAGCTCTTTGGGGTATATATGTATTTATTTATTCATTTTAGAAATAGGGTCTCACAATGTTAAAATTTTATAGGAATAATATAATAAATATAGCCTTTTCATGCAATATTCTATTCAAGACTTTTTATTTATCATGGTAGTCTTTCATTGGAAGACTTTATCATGGTTTATTTTAATTGATGGACATTTACACTTGTTTCCAGTTTTTCACTATTATAAATCATGATGTAACAAGTGTCACTATTTATAATGATAATTGTAGACCTGAATTCTTGGGTTTATGCAGACTTCCCACCTCAGCCTCCTGAGTAGCTGGAACTACAGGTGCATGCAGCCACGCCCAGCAGTCTTTTGGTTTAAAGTGCAGGATTTTTTCTACTATAATGTGTCATTTTTCAGAACCCTCCTAAAAATTAATGGTTTTAACTTCTTTTAAAGTAAGGCTCAGAAAATATAGTATATTTTAATATTGCTATAAAATTTCTGTGGACATTTATTTTGAATCTTGTTTACAGAGATTTAGTTTGTGAACAAAAAGATCGTCATAGTTTGATACTTAACTGCTACTAACTTAACTATCTTACAGTGAAGATAGTTTGCTGAATTCTTTAGTCTTTGAAGTACTTCTCATAGTACTGTACACTTAGTACTCCATAGTGACTATGGGTTAAGTATTTTGGTCATAGATTTGGGGGGGGGAACCCAGAACTTGATGTACAGAAGTTAATTCACATTAAAGATTTGCGTATAATATGCCATGAATTTTAAATGCTTGTTATTAATCATATATCAGCCATAGTTTTGTGAAAACTACCAATTCATTGATATTATTAAAAGAATATATGAATGTATAATATTCATATTATAATCATATTATATATCGGCCATAGTTTTGTGAAAAATACCAATTCATTGATATTATTAAAAGAATATATGAATGTATAATATGTGATATCCTTTTTAAATTTAATTTTATTTTTAGTGCTATTAGATTTTTCTCAGCATAATGAATGTTTATTTCTACATGATTAAGGGAATATATTCTATACAAAATTTCCATATTACCTAACTGAAAATTATATGACACAAAAATATAAAATGCTTTTATTCAACATTACTGGACATCTAGCCTTTTTTTCCTTTCATTTTTCTAAGAAAACTTTTTTATTATTACTCCTTTTCTTTTTAAGACCATACCTTCCCTTACAAAGCAATCATCTGTGCTTTTGAAGACTAAATGATTTAATATGTATAATATACTTAGAACAGTGTCTGATATGTATAAGGTGTAATGTTAGATGGTATTTTTGTTCTCTTCTACATTCCCACTTATGAGGCGAGCATGATGGCTCAGGCCAGGCGTGGTGGCTCATGCCTGTAATCCCAGCACTCTGGGAGATCGAGGTGGGTGGAGTGCCTGAGCTTACAGGTTTGAGACCAGCCTGAGCAAGAGCGAGGCCCCATCTTAAAAATAGCTGGGCGTTGTGGCAGGCACCTTTAGTCCCAGCCCCTCGGGAGGCTGAGATAAGAGGATCTCTTTGAGCCCAAGACTTTGAAGTTGCTGTGAGATAGGATAAGCCATGGCATTCTACTGGAGGGTAACAAAGTGAGACTCTGTCTCAAAAATAAATAGATAAATAAATTACCACTGATGCTCTTTGAGACCAATTTCTTTTAAATAAAAAAGTAGCTTTATAATTTTAATTATTAAATTGCTCAAAATACAGAAATCTAAAGAAGAAAGTAAACTCTTTCATCCCCTTATTAGATATAACTCAGTTAACATTTGGCAAATAGCTTCCCAGTTGTTAATCTATGCACGTGTATATCTGTTTCTCCTGTAGAGTGCTAGCTAGGGTATTTATTTCCATTAACACTGATCTGGCACCAGCAGTATGATGGACTGAGCTGAACTAATATAATCTCCTCCCAAAGACACATAGAAATGCTAGGTAAAATGAAAAATACATATTTTTAAAAAAAATTTTAAAGATACATACCCTGGGCTCGGCACTTGTGGCTCAAGTGGCTAAGGCGCCAGCCACATACACCTAAGGTGGCGGGTTCCAATCCCCAGCCCGGGCCCGCCAAACAACAATGATGGCTGCAACCAAAAAAATGGCCAGGCGTTGTGGCGGGTGCCTGTAGTCCCAGCTATTTGGGAGGCGGAGGCAGGAGACTCGCTTGAGCCCAGGAGTTGGAGGTTGCTGTGAGCGTGATGCCATGGCACTCTACCCAGGGGGATAGCTTGAGGCTCCGTCTCAAAAAAAAAAAAAAAAAAAGATACATACCCTGAAGACATTTTCTGAGCAAATTACCCTGCTTACAGACAGTATAGCTAGGTAAAGAAATGGAAAATATGAAAGAGGTTAAGAGATGCAGAAGATAGAATGGGAAGGGCCAGCACATATCTAGTAAGTGTTCCAGAAATTGGGATTGGTAAGAACGGGGAAGAGATAATATCTGAAGGGATAATGGATGAGAATTTTCCAGGGTTGGTGAATGAAATGACTCTTTAGATTTAAAAAGTATACTAGTCTTGAGCAGAATATGTAAACATTATGCCATGCTTTTTCAGAAATATATTTCAGTACATATGGGAACCTAATATATGATAAAAGTGGTATCGAAAATCAGGGAAATTAGGTTAGACTTTCAATAACTGATGTTGATACAACTGAGTAACCATCTAGAAGAAGATTTTCATACCATTTATGAATATAAACTCCCATGATTCCAAGAAGAAAAATGGGCAAAGGAAGGCCTTCAAAATCTACAAAACTAGAAAAGGAAAAGTTGATGAACTGAATTTGTAAAATATAAATAAAAACTCACAAACTTCTCTCTATGAAAAACACATCATGAGTAAAGACGGTCATGTGATTTATATCCCTGTCCAGTACTTAGGATAGTCCTAAAAGAGCTCTTATGCTTCAAAGAGTATTATCTTGAAGTTGTTGGTGCATGTTGCTGAATTATTCTTCAGGAAGCCTGTTGTTTTTTTAAATATTTTTGTTTTGTCATTTTTATATTTCATCATTGCTCCAATTGTAGATTTCTGGAAATATTCAGCGGACAAAATAAAGTCTTTCAGTTAATCTGTTCTTTTTCCTTTTAGGCATCAGGTACATGAGAAAGAAGAGTTCAAGGCTTTGAAAACACTAAGTATTTTCTACCAAGCCGGGACTTCCAAAGCTGGGAATCCTATTTTTTATTATGTTGCACGGAGGTAAATACTATATTTTGGTGTCTCTTTACAGAATTTTAAAAAATGGTAACAAATGTAGAAAGGTAGCAAATTTGATTGTTCCCATTTCACTTACCAAGAATTAAAGACAAGTTTACTTGGGAATGTGGAATGGGTAAACAGCCATCCTGTCATAAAATGGTGCTTAGTATATTAGAAATTGCTTTTCTGCTACCCAGTTCATATTGGCTTCTCTTTTCTACACCAAGTTTTAAAATACTATCTACAGGGCAGCGCCTGTGGCTCAAGGAGTAGGGCACCAGCCCCACATGCTGAGGGTGGCAGGTTCAAACCCAGCCCCAGCTCCCCCCCCGCCCCCAAAAATACTACCTACAGTTGCTTAATTACAAAGAGTAAAAAACTACAAAAAATCTTTTGTCTTTAGGTATATTCTGACTAAATAGTATCCATCACATTATAATCAGGGATTTTTTTTTTAAAAGAAGAAATGAAACTTAAAGAGCCTATTTCTGAGAACTTTCAGTGTTAGGTTGTATAAGACAGCATCAGTGTGATTTAGAAAATAATTCAGAGGAGTTGTGGGAAATCTCTATAAAGTTGGCAGAGACATCCTGGAAATGTGTGTGTGTTTGTGCTGTCTCAGCCCAGGCTAGTTCTTACAGAGCCTCTCTGGAAATGCTGTGAGCTCCTCCTCTGTGATAGATAGGATGCCTGTTATGCTTTCCCTACCATCATATTTTCTTTCTTGCCTCTTTGTGCCTTCTTTTAGACAACTCATCTATGACATTATTTAGTCAATTTTACTCTTTCCATTTAGCACAACATAAATTCATAGTAATTGAACTTTAGAGATAATATACAATAGGGAGACAGCTGACTTTGGAATCTCAAGAACTATGTTCTGCTATTCATCAGCTGTAGGATTTAATGTGAATGTTTCTTGAATTTAACACAAATTGTAGAATTATATTAGCAGACTTAGTGGGCCATGGGCAGCAAATACTTGGTAGTGTGTAGGAAACAAATTGAGGTTGAGAAATAGGAGGGAAGGGATGAAGGAGGACAAGTGGAAGATGGGAAACTTGTTTAATCAGATAGTTCGTAGCCTTAAGACCAAAAAGTCCAAAGAACTGGGGTTTAGGGAATTTAGAGAATAAGAAAATTGCATTTACCTTTGTGCTTCTTCTTTCACAGCTCCTTTTTTTTTTTTTTGAGACAGAGTCTCACAGTGTTGCTCTCGGTAGAGTGCTGTGGTGTCACAGGTCACAGCAACCTCCAGCTCTTGGGTCTAAGTGATTCTCTTACCTCAGCCTCCCAAGTATCTGTGACTACAGGCACCTGCCACAACACCTGGCTATTTTTTATTGCAGTTGTCATTGTTTAGCTGGCCTGGGCTGGGTTTGAACCCACCAGCCTCGGTGTATATGACTGATGACCTAACCACTGTGCAACAGACGCTGAGCCTCTTTCACAGCTCTTGAGTAACATCATCTCACTTTCCTATGAAGGTCCTCTCTCTCTCTGATTTTAGTTGTCATTGCCAAATTGCCTAAGGTGATTTTAATTTTCTTTTGCACTTGAGATGCACCATGTTTATATTCCGTCTCCTACCTTTAATACAACCAGGATATTTTGACTTTCCTTACTTTGTCTAATTAAAAAGCTAACTTTGATGAGGGAGATAGACAGATGTGTGCTCTCTGTCCTGCTCTCCTTTGGATTATTGTTAGTTTACAAGTAGCAAAGATTTCTGGAAAACATAAAAGCTGGGTGTTTTCTATAGGATTATAAACTGTTAAATTTGTATTCCTTCTCTGTGGTGATCTAGAAGAAGCTAAAGGAAAATAGGATGGGCCTGATGAAAACCTGTCAGTGGGGTTTCTATGAAATCGATAAATACGGTAGCTTGAAAGAGATAAAAATTCCCAGCTCTGCTGATGATTAGCTGCATTACCTTAAGACAAAGTAATTTTTCTGAGTCTGTTTCTTCGTATGTTAAAAAGGGAGGGTTGTGCTTACGAAAACTGTCTACCTCTCCTATAAAGTGTTTTGTGACCTAAGTTTAAGACTTTCTTTTTATTTTTATTATGACCCTCTCAGTTTCAGATTTTCAGATCTTTTAGTTTCTTGCTTAGATCTACTAGAGCTCTTCCTGACCTTTATTTTCACCGGGTGTGAATCCTTAGCTTCGGGACAGGTGAACACTCAGTAGATCACAGCAGAGAAGAGGCCCAGTTACGCCACTATACAGGTGCAGAAGTTGGTGAAGGCCTTGTCTCTGTGCAGCCAGTTTTATCAAAGAGCACTTGGGTTCGACTTTTTTCTATTTGCCTGTGTTTCCATGGCTTAGATTACTACACGTTTGGTAATGTTTTTCTGAATTATAGATTTCAGTCTCCTTATGGATAGTCCACAGATATTTCAGACTTGAATGTCCAAAACTTAATTCAGTGTATATTCAGATCAGCCTCTTCTTCACACTATATTCTCTTTCTCAGTAACATCACCATCCCTTCTAGTTTCCCTTTAGAAACCCTAATCATTTAAAATTCCTTCCTCTTTGTCTTGTCTTCTTCCTTATGAGTCACCAAATCTTGATTTTTACCTGTGAGATCCTGAGAAATCAATTAAGTTGCTTTAGTAAGGCCTTTATTATTTCACAAAATTTATTCTTCTTTCTCAAGAAGATGGTTCTTAGGAAGAGTATAAATTAGAGCAGAGCCAGGCCACCCAGGTAGCTGTTGGCTCTGAACCCAGTTTATGCTCTTTAGCTCTCTCATGGCTTTGTGTTCAACTCTTCCTCATGATTTTCCTCTCTCTGTATCCTTCCAGCTTTAGCCCTAGCTAGTAACCCTTTATTACCAAAGCACTGAACATCTAAAATTCTAGAAAGAAAATGTGATTCAGTATAAAAAGTATCTCTGTTTGGCACCACCTTTAATGCTAGATGCTGGCTAGCCAGTAGAATTCTGGCTGCCCCTAACTCAGGTACATGCTCCTGGCCCAGCAGTCATATGATTCAAACTGTGACCATAGAGTGCTTGATGTTCCCTCCTCAGGGACTGTCCTTAGGTTAGGTATGTGGTTTTTTTTTTTTTAATTTTTGTTGTTGTTGTTGTTGTTTATTTATTTATTTTAGAGACAGAGTCTCACTTTGTCACTCTAGGTAGAGTGCTGTGGCATCACAGCTCACAGCAACTTCTAGCTCTTGGGCTTAGGCGATTCTCTTGCCTCAGCCTCTCAAGTAGCTGGGACTACAGGCACCCACCACAATGCCCAGCTATTTTTTTGTTGCAGTTTGGCTGAGGCCAGGTTCAAACCCACCACCCTCGGTAAATGGGGCTGGCGCCCTACTCACTGAGCCACAGGCACTGCCCAGGTATGTGTTTTAAATTACTGTCAAATTAATGGTCTAAAATTAAGTACTTTGGAAATATCTTTAGAAACTATTTTTTTGTTACCATATTGCTGAAACTCTCATTATCTCTTAACCTATACTAATGCAGCATTATTCTTCTTCCTTAGATGACTATGTCTAGATCTTTTTTTTTTTTTTTTGAGACGGAGTCTCAAGCTGTCCCCCTGGTTAGAGTGCTGTGGCATCACTCACAGCAGTCTCCAGCTCCTGGGCTCAAGCGAGTCTCCTGCCTCTGCCTCCCAAGTAGCTGGGACCACAGGCGCTCGCCACAACGCCTGGCTATTTTTTGGTTGCAGCCATCATTGTTGTTTGGCAGGCCCTTGCCGGATTCGAACCCGCCAGCTTAGGTGTACGTAGCTGGTGCCTTAGCCACTTGAGCCACAGGCGCCGAGCCTAGATCATTTTAACATTACTTCTGGAGGCAGTTTCCAGTACATATCTAATTTTGTCTTTCCCATTGACTAATCATGTAAAGTTCAAGTTCACATGCAAGATGCTCCATAATGTTGGCCTAATTCACTTTTCTAATATTCTCCTGCTATTCTCTCCCATATGCTTATGCTCTTCCCCTGTGGTAGTTAAAGTAGCTTAAATACAAGGATAATTGTTGTAACACAGCTTATAGTGGCAAAAAGAGGAGAACAATATAACTGTTTCAAAAAGGGAATTGTTGAATAAATGATCATACATCTATATTATGGAATAATGCAACATGTTAAATTTATTTTGCTTGTTATAAGTGGAAGAAACACAATTCAAATTTGTGTGAACCAAGAAGGAATATGACACATGTATCTAAGAAAATCAAGATGCACTAATTTCTTGCATGACTAAATGCAGAGCCTTGAATAATATCATCTGGAGAACATCTGTCTTCTCTGGCTTTTGACTCTACTTTCTTTATGTTGGCTTTTTCCCCAGGCAGCCCTTTCCAAGCTGTGGCTCATAGTACTTTGTGTTCTTCCAGTTTAACAATCTCAGTGGAAAAACACTTTTCCAGTAGTTTCAGCAAAAGTGGTTGATCTTATTTGCCTACCATAAACCACATGTTAGTTCTTGAGGCAGTCACTATGGCATGGGAGATAGAATTTCTTGGTTATCTAGGCCTGGATTATGTGCCCATTCTTGGAGCTTAGTGGTGAAGCAAGCCCTACCTGAATTGCATGAAATGAAAGAATGGCATGGGGGCAGGGTTTCTCAAAGGAAAATTGGATTGCTGATACCACAATGATGAAAAATACTAAGCAGATACTTAAAATAGTTAATATTAAATACTTAAAATGTTAAGTAATAGCCCAGGAATTTGAGGTTCAACGAGCTATGATGACACCACTGCACTCTAGCCCAGGCAATAGAGTAAGAGACTCTGTCTCCAAAAAAAATAAATAAATAAATAAAAGAATGATTAAAAATATAAAATCTAAAGTTAGTTACCTTGAAGACTTTTCCTCTTAGGAGTATCATAATACTTGGCAATTGCTTTTTGGTTGGTAGTAGTAAATAGTAATAATAGCTAATATTTACTGAGTACTTAATCAGGCAAATTGTGTGTGTTATATAATTTCTCATTTAATCCTTATGGTAGCCTTCCGAGGTATTATTA